CTCGTATATAGCTAAGCATCATCTCTGAGATCAAGAAAGGAAGATTTGAATGAGTTAACAGTATTATTTCTGCGTGATTTTTCAGAAAGCTATGAACTTGTAGTTCAGGATGAAGTACAAAGCTTTCATTGGACAAATTTTAAATTTACAAAGTTTCACTTCATCCTGTGATTATTTATTTCAAAAATAAAGGTTTTCTCAATCACAGACCTTATTGTATTGTTTTAGATGATATAATGCATGATGTGAACATGGTGTATAAAATTATTGATGTTGTCAACAATGATATTGACACTAGTCTACCTCAAATAAAAAATATTGAATACTTTTCAGATGTGTGTGCAGTTCAATATAAGAATTGTAAAAATATTCTGAATTTTTGTTTCCGTCTTTTTCCAAGATTTTGGTTTTTCTGCTAAATGGAACCTTTTTACTAGTCACGGTAAGCAACCTTGTGATGGCATAGGTGATACAGTCGAACGTTTAGCAACACTAGCAAGCTTGCAAAGAGATATGGGTAATCATTTTTGTCTCCACAAGCAATGTACAAATATTGCAATGAAAACATTGAAGATGCACATTTTATTTATATATCATCAGAAGATTTAATTTTGATAACAGACTCTCTTGGATTGGATACTGCAAATAGCATACCTGGAACACGTAGTTTGTTTGTACCAGTTTGTACCACTTGGCCAACAAAAGGTTAAAAAATATATATTTTATATACCTTTCATTATCCTAAAAAACATGCATAATTTTTATTGATAAACTCGAGTAGATTTTTTATTTGTGAGGAATCATAGTCAAAAGTATTTTTGTTTTATTATGGACTAATTTCTTTTAACGTCTTTGATAAAACTTGTTTAACAAAATAAGTAAAACGGAATAAATGTTGCTTTTTTTTCTAGATAAGCGCAAAGCAATGCAGAAAAAGATGTGTTTGTCAAATTTATGTGTCCAAATGGTCCTACACGGTTGTTCAAATGGCCACCAGTGGATAGCCAATGCTGGGTTCCAGATGTCCACATCATTTGCAAAGTTTAAGTATCGACTTCAAAAACAGGTCTTTGCTACTATTTAACCAAAGACAACTTGGAAAAATTGTTTTCCTTAGGAAATAGAGATTTTTATATTTAAACTAATTTCAAGTTTGCTGAGTCTTATATGTCTTATCCATACTCTTTATTAATCTTTTATTTTTTGTACAATTTATAAATAATATGAATAAAAAGCATGTATAAAATCATTTAAAATTGAGTATTTATTTTTCAAAAGGTTTTTTTAAACCTTATAATTTTGTTCTAAAAAGTTAATAAAAACTAATAAGTTACTAAACTGTTAATTTCTTTAATTTCATTAATTTGTAGAAACTTGTGATAGGTTGCCAAAATTTTGTGTTCATATCAAACCTCAATAACTCCTCAGGTAATCGTAAGGCCAAAAAAAAAATTGGTTCGTAAAGTTGATATACATCTTATCTTTAAGAAAATATTTTTTTTTTTCTATTAATCAGATTTTTTTATAGCTATAATTGTTAATGCTCTTTTTTATTGTCATTATTAGGTACATTTTATGAATTCTAGAATAAACTACATTGGCTTGCTTCGAGAGATACAAAACTAAAGTTCTCCGACTTAGCAAGTTTTAAGCTCTTTTGGTACCAAGTTTCATAATCGCAGCATTACTAAAAGCACCATATAAGGGTAATAATAAACGGAAACATTTTTGGCACTTTTCCTCCCTCATTTTTTAGTCAAATTCAAACAAACTTCAAGTTGCTGTAAATCCTAAACGGATAAGAATTTTATTAAAAAAAAAATTACAGTCTTTCCTAAATTATGTTTTCCTAAAATAGGCATTTGTGCCAATTTTCAAAAAATTTGGTCATGTAGGATACAGATTTGTGTTTTTTAAAAAATTTTTTACCCTAAATACCTTTTGGTCTTCTGTGAGTTTCCCGCGTTTGTTAACTATAACACTATTATTTCATGAAGATTTATAATAATTTGCTTTTATACGTTAATTTTCTTTTTTGGTCACATACAATATATAGGTTTATTTTTGAATGTATAAGAATTTTTATACTGCAAATTTTAATTGTAATATAAAAAATAGAAATTTATTGTTCAAAAGACGAATATATGAATACATTTTAATATGTATTGAATTTTGAATAAAGAGTGTAAATAATTTTTGCAATGTTTCAAAAAGTTGAGAAGTAATTTTAATGCATTCCTTCCTATTCTGTGTAACTTTTGCTTTGTCAAGTTGCATCGTTTCTGCACAGTTGTAGACCGTAAGTTAATGTGGGTACTCCCAAGGTTTGATATAATTGAGTAATGGATCTTGGATTATAGGCAAAACAGATTCCAGATTGAATGAGAGTTTGGGTTGGTTCTTGAAAATTTGATGTTTTGTCTGCAATGTTTATCCAACCAAGTGAGATAAAAGCAGAATGTTATGTATCCCATGTAAAATCCAAGTGTTTAAGTCAGCTATATAAATTTGTTTGATTACCAGCAAGAGATATTGTACAATTTACAAACTATATTTTACATGTAAGGAGGAACTCTATTTTGTCAGTTTTATGCATTTTGAGTTGCAGAAACTCAAAATGCATAAAATAGAGTTTCTTCTTACATTACCTGAAAGATTTGAACTATAAAGAGATATCATCAGCATACGCTAACACACCAGTGAAGTTACCGCATATAGATTAGTCTACATTGCTTTTATTTTTAGTTGTTTTGAGATGGTCTTGTGTATAGACATAATAAAGGTTCGGTGATAAACTTGGCTTACTTCTTTTTTAAGAAAAAATTTGTTTGATTAGCAACTTTAGTATGAGGTAGTTGCACTACTATTTTAGTAAAATGAAGAATTGTCCTAAATATATACTAGTATACCAAATAGCTGCAGTTTAATAAAAAACTACAGCTTTTTATTGAATTTCCCAGTTACAGCTATCAAAAGCCTTTTCAGCATATATGAAGCATGAATAAAAAGGTAAATTTTTACTATTTTTGTTTTAACAGAAGAGTTATAACCATTTCGAAAAAAATGAGAATTATTTCTCGGAATGAATTATAGAAATAAGATATTTTAGAACTTTTGTAAAAATATGTAAGATACCCAGATAGTTGCGGGGGTAATGAAAGACTTTTTATCTGAATTATCAAGTGGTATAATCAGGACTGTGGAGTCGGAGTTGCAGAGTTGCTACATTTTTAGTGGAGTTGGAGTCGCTAAACAAAATGGCAACTCCGACTCTAATCGTAAAACTTCTCGGTATTGCAGGTGCATGTACAAAACATTCAATTAATCTTATGTTCATACTAAACTTCAAAAAACGTTTCATAAATTTGTCAAAAAAAAATTTACTTATCGCGTAATATTTTTTAAAGAATTCAAAGAATTTTTCAAAAATTTTGCTTTGGGGAGGGGTCAAAAATTCGATAAAAAATGGTGACGTTCTTTATGGATGGGGATTCGAAAAGATTTTTTTTAATTGAAATTTTAATTAATTCTATGTAACTACTGACGTTCCATTGCACGCAAATGCGAACAAATAAAAAAATAAAGTTGAATAAATAAGCAAATAAATAAAATAAAGTGAATAAATAAAAGCAAAAAAAAAAACAAACAAATTAAGTTGTTTAACTTTAATGGTAGCTTGAAGTTAGTCGATAACAAAAGTTCAGTTGTGCAAAACCAATTAAAAGCAAGAATGCAACAGAGGAACTGTATTTGGTAGAAGGTTTAGTTTTGCGTTAAAAAGAAATTTATTTTTTGTATCAACTCATTGAGCCTTTTATAAAACATGTCACCTTCAACAAGTAATGCTTGTTAACTCTACATCACAACTGTCTTTAAATTAACATCATAACTGCCTTTAAATCTCCATATAACTGCATTTAAATCTACATCATAACTGTCTTTAAATCTACATCTTAACTATTTTTAATTCTCAATTATAACTGTCTTTCTTCATAAATAAGTTCAAAGTTAACTAAATGAAGTTCGTTATAGCTTAGCCATTAAAAAAGTATGCAAAGTGATAATAATGTTTAAACGATCAACTACCAAAAACAATATTGTAAAAAAATTTATAAAGGCTGAATTTTGTTTTTTTTAATATTTTATGTAATTATTAAGGTGCTCCCATAAGTCTTTACGGTCTTATTTTCGAGAACCGTTGGAGAATATTTAACTAGTAAGTTCACGCCTCCTTCCTTACCAATAGCTTATTGTGCAAGAGCCGGCAGCAAACCTCAAACCTCTAGATTCTGAGCTAGAACTTTATCCACTGCAACCCTGCTGCGTAAAGTTGCATACAAAAATTATTATTTGCTATTTCCTTAGTTAACTCTGTAGCTCTGTTTTATGATGAAGTAATAATATTATCCGAGATTATAACAACTCTTGTTGTGATGCTTTCATAAAAGCTACGGTGTCCGGAATCCTTACCTGTTTATAAGTTACCTGTTTAAATTAAATAAGCATTGCTATTTAATTTCATGCTTACCAAACTAAAAGATGCTGACAGTAACACAAGAAAGAAAGTGCGTACATTTTTAATGGTTTGTATATGTGAACGCTGAAATGATATAAATGGATAAAACTGGGCTACTCAGTACAAAAATATAAAACCGTTTGGTTGCGTGTTAAAACCAAGGCCGACAACACGGGTTTCGAAAAATAATAGTAGTTAATATATGTCATTAATGACATATATTACTCTTTATTTGTAACTACTATTGACTTTATTTTAGTTTTTTTTATTTTACATTGTTTTTATTTGTTTTCAAGTACGCTTTATGAATCTACAGTGTAGAATACTACGTTTTAAGGGCTCTTTAGTCTCTTAGTGTAGTATCTTAGAAACACACTTATAGCATCACCCTTGTTTTGCTTTTTAACAAAATTCCGAAAATCAGACAGTTAAAAAAATATCTGATTACGGACGGCTCGACAAATTAATATACCTTATTTAAAATATCATAGCCATTTTTAAAAAAATCTCAATCGCGTCTGTGTTCATTATTTAAATTGTTTGGTTATACATACCACTTGTATAGAACGAGTTAAATTATCTACAGTAACTTAGACTAAAAATTAAAAAAAAAAGCATAACGCTATGAATTTCGAAGTATTTTGTTTTATTTTATCACTCTTAATTAGCGTGGCATTAATATTTCTTGTTATATGGAATGTAAGTTGTTTTTTATTCTAATTTAATATTTGCAATATTAAATTAGAATTTAATTTTTGTGTGTGTTTGTGTGTGTATTTTTGTATTTATTTTAAGTATAGTTAAAATATTAAAAAATTAAACTTTAATTAAATTAAAAGTTTAATTTTAATTTTTAATATTTTTATTTTAAAAATTTAATGCAAAAAAAATAAATCTAAAAGGTTGTTGTTTTTCAAAAGAACTTAATAGTTTTTGAATTATATATATAAAAAAGGAATATAAAAAAATGAAATAATTAACCACATTGTTTATTATTGCTTTTGGTTTTAGTAATCATAAGATTTCTCTACAGGTTATTAATCTTGTGCAATAATGTATGTATACATACAAACATACATACATACATACATACATACATACATACATACATACATACATACATACATACATACATACATACATACATACATACATACATACATACATACATACATACATACATACATACATACATACATACATACATACATACATAGATATATATATATATATATATATATATATATATATATATATATATATATATATATACACATTTATTTGGTCTACCGGAAAGTTTTGTCTGTTTCTCGAACAAAATAAAATACAAATTTTTGATATCATCTATAAACTTTATTGAATAATATAATTGCCATTATTTTCAATGATATGCTTATGCTTCGACATTTTTTTTTATAAAAGCAGACAGAAATTTCTGGTCGACTTAATATATATATATATATATATATATATATATATATATATATATATATATATATATATATATACATGCATATATATATATATACACATGCATATATATATATATATATATATATATATATATATATATATATATATATATATATATATATATATATATATATATATATTAAGGAATTTTTTATTATGTTGGATAGGTAATTGCTTTTGATGACTTAAGGACAGACTACAAAAATCCAATTGATCTTTGCAAAACTCTTAATCCAGTAAGTAAACTTTACAAATTATATTTTTTTATATGAATTTGATTTTTATACATTGTTTGATTAGTTTTTTTTGTTTTTTAGAAGGCCAATAAATAATGTCAACTTTAACATTGTTAAAGTTTGTTTATCTGTAATAGTAGCATTTATTGTGTTTTGGTTTGTAAAAACTGAATTTCAGTTTTATTAAACAATCTGGAATAAACTGCTATAAACTGTGTTTAAATATTCAAAACTCCTTGTTTTGAATATTTAAACACAGTTTAAATATTCAAAACAGGAAGTTGGTTGTCTTTTTTTTCTATAAATTTTAGTTGTCTTTTAACTGATAAGTTTAGAAGAGAAAAGTAAGTATTATGTAATGTTACTTCTTTCCCAACCATCGTTCAACCCTCTAATTGAGTAACATTACTCTTTTACAATCACAAGATTTTCGTCTGGAGTAAAATTGAGTCTAGACACATTCTTGACAATAAAGAACTGTAGATTGAATTCTATACCTTCATTATGCTTAAGAAAGCACTGTTTTTTAAATTATGCTTAAGAAAGCATTCTTTTTTATTATTAATATTACTATGCTTAAGAGTATAATAATAGGGTATAATAATTAAGTTAGAGTATAGTAATAGGGTATAATAATTACGTTTGAAAGTTTAAAACTAACTTAATAAAGCTTTTTTTAAATTATTGTCAAAATTTTCACAAAAAAAAAAGTTTTTGTTTCATTCTTTTGTTTTCCTAAAGTCAAACAAAAAAAAAGTTTTTGTTTGGTTCTTTCATTTTCCTAAAGTCAAACAAAAAAAAAGTTTTTGTTTTGTTCTTTCATTTTCCTAAAGTCAAACAAAAAAAGTTTTTGTTTCATTCTAAAGTCAAACAAAAAAGCAAAAAAAAGATCAAAAGTTCATTCATTCAAATATTAAATAAGTGTGATTACTTTCTTATTATATTAATGTCACTTAAATTGAAATTTTTACTTTTGTTTATTTTATTATTTAAACCTGTCCTTCAAGCTAATTTTAATCTATTATTATTTTAAAAGAAAAAAATTTTTGAATTATAGTTTATGTAAAGAATTTTTAAAAAAAGAAAATATCAAAGTATTTTAAAATTAGTTTATGATTTTTTTTAAAAAAAAAAAGAAAATTACAAATATGAATGTGTTTACTTTAGTTACCTATTCCATTGCTTGGTTACCTTTAGACTGAGTACAGAAAAGCCTCTTTCTATGTTAGCAGTACTAGGTGTAATTAAAAGAAAAAATTTCAACAAAGGAAGTAACTTTGGATATTGCCATCATTCTTTAATTAGACCAGTATATATATGTTAAGGTGAAATTGGGTTTTTTATTTTGTATTGTGCAACGTTACAGGCTTTTACCTTTTTTACACAGAATCATTTTACAAATTTCTTGATTTCTTTTCTTCTTGGTTGACTTCACCATCAAAATCTTTAAAAAAAATTTTTAATATCACCTTCCACTATTTTTTACATATTAATCAATGGTTCTGCAGTATTTGTTTCCTGCTTAAACAACAAGGACTGGGACTCTCAGTAAAAATCTGCCAGCACATAAACACACTTGGTTCTTTTCTTGAAATCATTTATTCATGACATTGAAAGTGCCTAACACCAGAAAAACAGCATCATTTAATAAAAATGCCAAATCAAGTCAAGGGTTAAATTAAGTGATTGCAAAATGCAAAGTTTGGAAAAATTGAGATGCTTTTATACTTTAATTTAAATTTGGGATTACTTATTTTGTTTGAACAAAGAATGAATTATAGATGTTATAGTGGTTATAGATGCATTATAAAAGTAATAGCACTATTATAGTATTATTACTTTTATAATGCAGTTAGTGATTGGAGTGTTATTAATTTTATAGTTGTAAATTTATTATTTTATTTTTTATAACTTTTTTGTTGACAAATTTAAGTTGATTTATCCCTTGAAAACAAAGAACACGGTTTTCCATAAACTAAAGTTTTAAAGATCAGATATTTTTCCAGATTTCGGGTTTCTCGATCGCTTAATTCAACCCTTACAAGTTCTCTGGAAACTTATTCCAGAAAGGGGATTTTAGTTTCACATAAAATTTTTTAATTTTCTTTTCAATATTAACTGCAGCAGTTGTTTCCAACAAGCTGTTTCTTCACAGCCTTTGTGTCGATTCCATGTTCCATCAGTGTTCATTAATGTATGTTCCATCCAGCGAAAAGCAACTATTCAGTTTACTTGTTTAAGTGTTTTCTTGCATTATTCGCATGTGAAATGCTGTCCCCGAGATTTGTTTTGGTCCTGACTGGCACGCTAAAGTATACTTTATAGGCCACACACATACGACTTGCTTCCACAGAACACTTTTTTGCTCTTGTCTTTATGAATTGTCTGCACACATAGCTGAATGAATCAGCTGGATGCAAACAACTTCTTGATGCCATATCAAATAAATAACTTCTCTTCAACTAGGAATCATTATCCTTTAAGTCTGCAATAACACAAATTGGAATCTTGGTTCGAGACAAATGTGCTTTTATACAGCTATTTTCAGAACATTTAAGAACGTTTAAGAGTGTTCTGAGAGTTTCACAAAAGTTCTGGAAGTTTCTTGTATGTTCTAGAGTGTTTAGGAGAATTGTAGAAACATCTGGACAACTCTAGCAGTTCAGAAATATCATAGGAGGAAGCTCGGCATTAAAAGCAAATCAAAAATTTTCTTGAAAACACGGGATTTTCCAAATTTCCTTGTCCCAGTTACAGAAGCAAAATTTTTATACAATAGGAGTGATTTCCTTTCTGTTCTAGACCTAATGGGTTAAGAAAACACACTTTCAACCTAGGTAGAGAACAAGTGAAAATTTGTTACATAGTGTAATGATAAACTTGGTATGATTAACTATGATAATACATATTTTCTATGATAATATTAATTTATACACTTTTCGGACAAAGCAATAAAAGATTTAAGGTAAAAAAATGTAGCGAAATCAGAAAACATCTTTTAAATCATTATTGTATTGTATAAAGAAACAATATGAAAATTATAGATGTTCTTTCTTTGTTTGTTCAAACATATATTTTTAAATTTATATTTAACTGAAATTTTAAAATGAAAACAAATATCTGAATGAATATTTTAAAAATGTTTTATCTTTCGTTTAAACAAATTTTCCATACATTCCATTGTCTTTAAATTGATTTTCATAATAAGTTTTAATTTATTTTTTTAAATCTAATCTTCCATAATAGTTATAAATATTAATTGTTAAACAATTTGTGACAAATAATTACTTTTTAATTCATTCTACTGTTTAAAAAATGAACTAGCTAAAGGAAACAAAAAGTTATTTACTACTTTTAAAATTTAAAATGGAAACTTTTTTATTCTTTTAATAAAAAAGCAAAAGCAAAAAAACAAGTAAAAAGTATTTTTTGGGCACTCATACTGCTCTAGCGTTACTTAAACAGGTCTGGGATCGTCCTTGATCAACAACAACAACAAAAAAGATAACAGCTTAGTAACATTAACAAAACCACTTGAATATAAAGTTAATTTTAAACTTCATTTTATATTCAAGTGTTTTTGAAAAAAGGTTTAGTGTTAAAAACTGAGGACCTTTTTTTTTTTTTTTTTTTTTGTAAAAAAACGTTTATAAAAAAAAGGCTCTCAATTTTTAACTTGAGCGGCACCCAAATACAGTCGACGCTGTTGAAAACGGTCTAAAATAGCCCTTGCTTTATTACATGTTATATTGAACATATAACTTTGTTATCTAAGGGTTCTATTGTATATTTAATAATATATTTATAAAAAAAAATATTACTTTTTTGCATATAATCACAAAAAGTACAATAAAAACTCAAGTTTCATATACGGTTAGTCCACAAATTGTCATGCAATCGAATGGGAGGAAGGGATAGCAATTTTGTGAAAAAATTTTTACAGGGTGGATGGGGGTGGCCTTTAGTTTGTGACGCAGATTTTTTTTTTTGAGATTCAAATCTACAAAATCTTTTCTACTGAATAAAAGAGTACCTTGATTAAAGCTTTCAGTTGATGTAAACTCAACTGCGGCTATTTTAATTTGAATTGACTTAAGTTTTAGTAAATCCATGTCTCAGACTCCGCTGCATCTACGGCTTTATCAGTAAATGATAGAGCTGATATATCATCAATAAAAAAATAGTTAACAATAATATAGTTATTGAATAGAATAATATAATAATTATTAAACAACAATTATAGTTAATACGCATTAGCATTAAATATTATAATCTTAATATAACTTGCACTGCAGGTTATATTAAGGTTATATTACCGCGTGTAAGAAGTTATCTAACTAATATCAATTATCAAAAACTAAATATATCTTCTGAGGTTATTTGTCTGTTTAGTCACTATTAATTTATTCAACTTTATATTGAAATATAGTAGTGCAAAAATGTTTATATGCTAACTTCAATTCCCCCATACCCATTTAAGTCAATAGATGTATGTAACTACACTGTGACTACGACCATATCAGTCAATTTATGTACAAATGGTTATTATTCTGAAAACTTTAAAAAGTATAGATAAAAAAATAAATAAATATAGTTATAATTTAACTACAACAATAATAAAATCATAAAACAACTTTCAAAATTCAAAAATTTTGTTTTCTAAACGGTAGTTGAACCTTCACCCTTGTTCTCTAAAAGGTAGTCCAACCTTCACCCTTGTTAGACACACCTCAAAAGAGGCAAGTTTAATTATCCACAGATTTTTGTGATTGCAAATCTATAATAGAATTTAAATACTTTAAATATTTTTTGCATAAAAATGATTATTTGTGGGGTTGTTATTTGCAAACATAAATAATGGCCTTCAAAGTAATATTAAATTAAAAAAATAATTTCAATTTATGTGTATGAAAATGTATTAATTTGATAACTAATAGCAGCTAAGAAAATTTTAAAATATTGTTGTATTTGAAATCTTATAAAAAATTTTTTTGGGGGTTAGGGGTACAATTTTGTTAGGTAATTTTAGGGGGAGGACAATAAAATATGATGTTTTGTTGCTGGGGGGAAGGGGTCCAAAATCGCTACAAATTGCGTGACATAATTTATGAATGACCCATATTAGTCCAAAATTTAAATTAAGTATGATGTTAACAATAATTGAAAAACTACTTTTTGCAATTGGTTTTACATAACAGAAAATGCATGTTAAATTATTTTCTATTAAATTTTTTGAATATGAATTTTTTTTAATTCTATTAAATGTTTTTATATTATTAGAAATATTTTTATTATTTATATTATTATTATTTTATTAGGAATATTTTAAAACATTTTTTTCGATCAAGGGGTCTTCCATAAAGTACATATACAGGTATAGAAAAGAAGAGTTATCTTAAAACGTACAAATGGGATGGGGTGTTATGTATGTTGTTTGACTATCTCTTATTCCTAATACTTTTTTTTTTAACAAAAGCATAGAATTTCATAAGTTTAAAAAAAAAATTACGTTATGTATAAGATAAATGTCAAATTAAATTAAAAAAAAAAAATTTTATTTTTTTAAAAATGTTTGCATTTGGGATGGAGGAGAAAGGGCGATTTTGTAATAAGTAGTGCATATGTATGCAGAAGGAGGTTGTTGAAAGTATGTGGGTGCGTACAAGAGGGGAGGCTTCCTAAATCAGTTGTTTAAATGTATATATACTTAATTGTGCAAGGTTATTTTGTTTTTTGCGAAACAACCTTGCACAAAAACAAAATGTCAAATTTGTGCAAAAAATAATTTGACATTTTTAACTGAAATTTTAAAATGTATATTTATATTAAGCGCTGGTGTTATCTAATAGTCATTTTTACAAGGCAATGCTGTGACTAGAACACCACCACCACCAAAAAAAAAACAGGCGTAAAGGCTTGAACTTCTAAAAACCCTTCTACAATTAGATTTTAATAAAATACTCCGTAATTTGAAAAAGAAGCCCTAAAATTTCACCTTTTACCATATACCGTAGGGCTAACTATTAAGAGTATATACCCAATTCTAACTACCCAAATATACCCAATTCTAACTATTAAGAGTATTAAGATACAAGTTTTTAATTAAGACATTGCTTTATAGTTTGTAGCTACTCCACCTGCATTTTAACAAGGGTTGCCATATCTTTTTTGCTTTTATTTCTTGACATTTTTTGACATCTACTTGCAAGCTGAGCTCATATATAAGATTCTCTTCTCTCATGCATGTAAACATGCCCTGCAGCTTCAGTTACCATTTTGACACATCTTTTAACTGACTGTGTATGAGAAGTCCAAGAACGAACTTTCATAGGATAGTTTACAAATTCTTTGATGGTGGCAGATGTAAGAGTGCAGGTAAGTGGTGGCTCAGTTACATTTAAGTCCCATGTTATAAAGTCTCCTGGCTGATCAGCATTTGGGTTTATTTCAGGTGTTTTTCTTACTCTGATACTACTATCTCCAACTTGAGTAACATTATCTCCTTCTCGAATCTTAAGAATCTTAGTTACAGCTTCTTTTCTTTCTTCTGTATTTTTGCTGCAAAGCATGGCTTGTAAAATGGCTTCAGAATGTGCATACCATGCTGATCGCCTAATTGTTGGCATAACAATATCTAAAACATTTTTATTTAGTGTTCTAAGTAGCTCTAGTTGATACAAAATATATCTAGGTCCTTCTATCCAATTTGATTTAACTTTAATGATAAAACAGTTAGGTATGTAAACACTAACAATAAAATTTACAATCATTGTAAATTTTCTAGATTTTCACCAGTAAGCCCATGATTTAACACCCAAATTCTGCAAAACCGAAGTGCTGTTGTTAGCCATCTACTGTGACAGACTGGTCCGATTTCCAGCATTGCTAACCTTCTAGGCAAAACTCCAGTCTTTATTGCTTGGCAAATTTGATATGCATAACTTTGGTTAGTGCTTAAATCCTTAATAATCTCCTGACTGAAATATATTAAAGAAGGACCTAAATTTGTTATAGTGAAATTTGAATTGATTTCAATTTCAATTGCTGTGTCAAGCATTTTCCCAATTTGGTCCAGACCATTTATAAGAAAGTGTTGTGCTATCTAAATTTTCAATTAAATGCCTTTACCCTAACTCACCAGTGTGTAGATCACAAACAGTTCACACTAAAATTCACCTTAAAATTCACATTAGCCATAAAATTTTGAATTTGATTCTTACTTTTTAACCAGTCAAACAAATGATCTGCAATAACTTCTGCTTTTTTTTATCAGCTGTCACATCTGAAACAAAATGAAAAAGATAGTCACCCCCAGGGTCTTTTACAACAGAGTAATGTTCCTCTTTAATAAAGCTAGGAAAATTTCTTTCATTTGCCTCAATAAACATTTTTGTAGCATCTACTCTCCCATCAAAAAAAAGACATGTAACTGGGTTTTTTTCTAGATCTACCTCAAACTGATTGTCTAATTCTTTTGCTAATTTTTCTTGAGCCTTTTTGATTTTGTTATGATCTATAATAAGATGGAAATCGTTCTCGCTTATAAGTTTTGCATCTATCAAAGTAGCTGTGGCTATTTCAGCTGCTTCTCTTAAACTTGTTTGATTGTTGATACTATCCAGAGCAATATTTTTGATTTTCATAGTATTGTACATGGAAAATGTTTGATTCATGGAAGATTTGCAGTAAGTTGGACTATCTACTTGGATTATGTTCTGCTCACAATCATCTTGAAATGTTTTAGAGGAGCTACTTGCGTAAACTGTTTCAACAGTATCGTGACGTACCTAATCCTAAAAAATATAAATAAGTTCTTTTTATTTTTAATCAGAATCTAAACATTATTAACAACTTATTTAACACCCAACCTACTCAACTTCATATTTTTCTACAAAAATACTATATAAATTTTTAATTTGACCAATATTTGTACCCCGTTTAAAAATAGAATATAAAGAAACAAAACTTTTACAATGAAATATTTTGATAGAAAATAATAGTTTTAAACTTAATTGCTCTACATGCGACTGAAAAAATGATACAGATTCATTTTCGTTCTCCTTGTTTCATCTGGCTTAAAATAAAAGTAATATATATATATATATATATATATATATATATATATATATATATATATATATATATAATATATATGTAAATATATAAATAATAAATGTTTGTATATATTATATTGTAGTACAAGCTTTCTAATTAACCAACTACCTTTTTTTTCTTTATCATTGCTACTTTTTGTTGTTGTTTTTATTTTTTTTTATTTTTTTTAGATTCTTTTCTATCTGCACCACCAATATGAAAAGTTTCAAAACTAGTTCTCTGAGAATGAATGAATTGAAGCTCTACAATTGGAATTTTCTCTTCTCTTTTACATTTGCATTTTATATGAATTTTTTCCATTCTGAACAAAGAATTAATTCACATTTACATAGTAAAATGTCCACAAGTTTGTCTAATTTTAAAGAAAATCTTCCTTTTTAAGCTTTTTTACCACGTCCATTACTAAAATCAACAGCCAATTTCCATAAACATTTGAGTTTTTTAAAAATTGTTTTTTCATGGATTACAGCTGGATATACAAAAAGTGCATTTGCCTTTAACTATTTACCAAATACAGCTGGTACCATATCAGCTACTAGCTGATCTACAGTATAGTTCCTCGTATTTTTTTCACTAATTTCTTTTAAAAGTATATGATATCGTAAAATATCTCTGGCTGTTGGAAGCTCAGATACATAAAGTTCTTTTCCATTGCCTACAAGTTTGCTCATTTTGATAAATAATGCATTCCGTGTTCTATTTGACATCTTTAATTAAGTAAATAAGTTTACTAGAGCTTTCCTTTTGGTCCGAATATGAAATATAAATGGAAAGAAATGTATAGTTACGCATTTTTTAAAATTATTTTGGTAATAACCAAAATAAGTAATAATAAAATGAAAAATTACCAAGCTAGCACTGAAATAATTTCATTTTTAAAAACATCACTCCTATTCAAAAATTATAAAATTATATTTTTTCACTAATCTTTTTCTTAAATTTAAAAAAGTGCATTTTACCATAAAAATCGACACGTCATGATATTCTTATTCAACAAAAGTGTTATTTAAGAAACAAATGTTTTCTAAGCTTCAATTTTTTTTATAATTTTATTTTGGCTTTTTATTATTTTGGGCATTTTATTTTTTTTGCTCTGCAGTGACATCCATTTAACACTACTTTAAAATATTATAAATAATTTATGACAATAAAAGAGATTTAATGACACTTTTAAAAACGACTTTAATACTCATAATATATTTTTTTCTGTAATTCTTTTTTTTTTTTTAATTAAATTGACTCAAATAAGATTGAAAATTTATTATTAAGTATAAAGATTTGTTAGATTCAAAGCAATTTTTAGCTATTTCACCTTTGAATTCTAACTTTAAATTCTGTATAAATGATAAAACAAGATATTAGTGAAAAATTTTATATTATATTTTATTTTTCTATACTATATATTTTTAGCTAGTTCTTCCAGAATATGCTCTTCATGCCTTTTTAACAACACTCTTTTTGTTTGGTGGCTTTTGGGTTATGTTTATTTTCAATATTCCACTTTTGGCCTATCATGTTCACAGGTTTTTATAAATATTTTTTTGTGTTAAGACTGATTTACATTTTGTTATTTACTATTTTAGTACATTTTTAACTTATTAAAGGTATTTGTCACGCCCTGTAATGAGTAATTTTGGCATTTACGATCCGACTGAAGTAATGAACTCATCAGAATTAAATCGCTGTCAACGAGAGGGTTGGGTCAAGTTGGCATTTTTCCTTATAAGTTTTTTCATATACTTATATAGGTAAATCCACCGTCTTTTTGTATGCAAAATCATAGTGTCAGAATAAGCGTATTATATTAATGTTCAAGTATAATATTTAAATTGATTCTGTTATTAAATTTGTGATTCCTGTACTTTAAATTAAGATTTAAAAGTTCATTTAATGTTCTTTTTTGAGTAAGAAAAAAATATATATTTTTTTTTCCCACGTAATTTACCCGGCCGCGCAATGCTTCCACACAATTCTGACGCTATGATATTGTAAATTTTTTTATTTAACATTTGTTTTTATACAATATTGCCAATACTTTTTACTCAGATCGCTGTTTGTTTTTTTATCTTTACTTTTTATTTAGAATGCTATATGCTCTTTTATCTTAAACATCAATCGAGCGTCTGGTTTAGTTGTTTCTATCATTGTAAAATATTTGGAAATCCTTGTGTCCATTGGCAACCTTAGATTTTTAAAATAGAATTCTTAAATTTAATTGTTTTATATTTATGCTAAAAATTTATTTGTTTCATTTGAACTTTTAATTTTTGCTACATTTAATCGAATATCTAGATTTTTCTTTAGGAAAAAAATCACCCCTTCCCGGAAATGTAATTGTTGTAAATTGTAATTTTTTTATACAAGATCTTTACAATAAGTCCCGGATACAGTAACTTGGTTTTTTTCGCAATTACACGGTTGAGTTCAAATGCATATAATCAAATGAAAACTCTAAGACTTTATTTCTAGATTCCTAATGACAAATTCAGATAAAAATATATCGTTAGGTTAGAATTGTCTTGTTTTATTTCCACCTTTTTAAGTTTCGAGGTAAACGATTTTAAAAATATAAATGTCCATATTTATTCCACTACATTTTCACATATAAATTAGAAATTAATGTAAAATATTGTAAGGTACATAATACGATCAACTTTGCAATTTAAGATAATACAAGTTCTAATTCTTTCGAGTTTTTCAAATATAAATATTTGTATTTTAGGTTATTAATTTTGTTTTTCTTTAAAACAATTTAGTTTAAATGTAATAGGTTTTTTACTCTTCTGATCAAGTCAAATAAAAATTTTGAAAATCTTAATTCGTTGCATATACATGCCATATATATATATATACACCTAACGTACATATATATATATATATATATATATATATATATATATATATATATATATATATATATATATATATATATATATATATATATATATATATATATTCTTATAGCAAGTGTTTGGCAAGTTGCAGCGATCAGCACAAAAAAATTTTCTAGCTTAACTAAAAAAGAAAAATATTAGTGTAAAAAAAGCAGCACAAGTAATACATATCACAATACAAAGCCTTGTTAGTATTTCTGCCAACACTCCTGTAAATTTGAGGATTCTTCGAAGCATAATTGCTTTGAATATTTATTTAAATGGTCTGATAAGTGGTTCAGGTTAATTAGAGTTAAAGATGCCGAATCTTTAAAAATGGAAAGCTTGATTGTTTTTCCTGGTTTTAGTTGATTAAAAGCAACTTTAAAATATACTAAGTTTTAACTTTGCACTGGTGATTGACAAATAATTGAAGTCAATTTTGTTGAAAACATAATGTAAGCTTAAACAGTTATGCAAGTGCAATTTGAATTTCAATAATACTTTTGTTGTTTGTTAAGCTTTTTTCATTTTAAGAAATAAGGATTTGTGCAGACTTGATAGTGATACTTTTTTACACAAACCTATGACACAGGCTATGACAGTAGTTTTACCTAGTGTCAGATAATAATCTTTTTTTAATTTTTTTTGCTATTTATTTAATTGACAAATAAAATCCTAAAAAAAAAAAATATGTAAAAATACATAAATAAACAAAAACATGAGCAGCCGTGGCGCAGTGGTTAGAGTTCTGGCTCAGAACCCAAAGCTCCAAGGTTTGATGCCAGCTTCAGCCCAACGAGCGACATTGGTACGGAAGGAGGCGTGAACTTCCTGCTAAATGCTCTCCCGCGGTGTTCTGTGATAAGACCGTAAGGACTTCTGGGAGCACCTAAATAACTACAAAAAAAAAAAAAAAAAAAACAGACTGGGTCTCAATAAAAATGGTTATTAAGGTGCTCAAAGAAATCCATACGGTCTTATCACAGAGTACCGAGGAAGAGCGTTCAACTAGGATGTTCACTTCTCCTTTACCGATGTTGCTTTTCCAGTCGGAGCCGACATCAAAACTCGGATCTCTTAATTCTGAACCAGTACTATAATCACTGCGAGACGGTTGCTAAATTTATTTATCATCTTAAAAGATCTTGAAATTTTGCGTTAATTAAATATCTGAATAAATCTTCTTTATGAGTTTAATTCTTTTTTAGTAAATGATTTTTTTATAATATATTTCCAAGGAGAATTAATGCAGTATTTTTCTGTGAGGCAAAAAGCAATCACCTGCATCAGGATACAAACGACGAAAATCTTGCAGCAGCTAAATATTAAATAAATCTCTAAAAAATAGGCTTACTAATGACAAAACAAATAATGACATGAATAACAAGTTACGTTCTGAAAACGATTCTATTTACTTTTCAATATCTATTTAGAAAATATTTACCATTTGTGGCTCGGATAGATAACATGGTATTTGCTGTACACATTATAAATATAATGGATGACGTTCTTCAATCTTTTTTCACCTGTAGCAAAATGCTTTCTTTGCTGCTGTACCAAAGTTTGCTAGAAGGAGGTTTTGATGCAGATAAGGTAGTTAACTTGACTATTTCGGTTTTCATATCATCGCCTGATAGTTCGTAGAGGGTGAATTGGACAGTGCTTTTGTAGTTTGTACCAAATTTTATATTTATATGAAACATAAAAAGTATAAAACTTAATAAAAATATAATTTAAGTTTTATCCCCTTTTTTTTTTAATTTATTTCGCTGTTCATATAAAAATAAAATAATAAAATTATAATGAAACTTTTACGTTACACAAAGAATATATATAAAACAGACAGGGGCTTATAGAAGATACGGATGACTGGTATCACAACAATCTTTTCATAGAAACCCTTTATAATAACATTTAAAGCCCACATGGCTTTAGTAAATTTACAATGAAATATTTTTTCTAAAAAATACTATATACTAATAAAAACTAATTAATAAATCATACATACTCATATATACATATACACATAAGCACACACACATATACAAACATACTTTCATATATGTCAGAAATTAAGAATGCAATTTCATTTGTCGTTTAAAAGAGAAAACGATTTTCAAATTTTTTATATTGTTATTTTTTAATATTTCCATAATTTTAATAATTCCATAATATTTCTATAATTTTAATAATTCGATAATGACGGGCCTTGGCTAATAATTGAGAATTTTGTCACATTTGCGATTTTACTCGGCTTAAATGATAGTTATGGTTATCAAATATAAAAAGAAAAAAAATTTATATCATAACTATAAGTTAAAATATCAGTTAAGTGCAGAGGAAAAACTTTTTTTGAGCAGCCGTGGCGCAGTGGTAGTGTACTTGTCTAAGAAACAAAGGATTCGTGGTTCAAACCCCACCTCTGGGCAAGTTTAGCGACATCGATTGGTATGAATGCGTGAACTTCTTATTAAATGCTCCTCCGCGATGCTCTGTGATAAGACCGTAAGGACTTCTTAGAGCACCTAAAATGGTAGCAAAAAAGAAATGGTTGGTGTTTGACCAAAGATTGTATTTTTGTAAAAACGCTGATGTAAAAATATCAGAAAACGCTTTTGGCAGCAAGTTATTCTTATAATTATACATAAATATTATTATTTGAAGCGAATTAAGTTTTATATATATTTAACACATTCATGTATTTCGTTACAGGGAAAAGGTTTTCTAATCTCTTTAAACAGTTTTGTAGGCTCTGTAATCTTAATAATTTAGTCTTCTGTGTGTTAGCCCAAACAATATTAGCGTAGGAGAGATAACAATAAATAAGACTGAAGTAATGCATTTTGCGTGATTTATAATCAAGAAAGGCTCTAGATTTATATAGTACACTTATAGCAGAAGATATACTTTCTCTCTCCTCTCTTCCCTCTTCTCCTTTGCTCTTTTGGATCCAAGTCTATCTTTTTTAATTGTTGCTGAGCTTAGCACGCGTATTTTCTGTTTTGTTTTAAAATCTTTCGAAACATTGCCTGGTGTTTTTCAACATATTTCTGACACCCACTACAGGTACTACTACGAGGGAGGGGGGTGGGTTAATTCCACTTAAATGATGCAAAAAAAAACTTATATTTATGAAAATATGAAAAAAATACACCTTAAAAATTAATTAAATATGAAATGTACTGTATAAAAAATCTGAATAAAAAATTGAGCTAAAATCAAATTCCAAAATCAACTTCCAAATTTTTTACATAATTATACCAGCTTATTCAATTTTTTTCTTATACTCCATGACAATTTGGAATCAATTTACTGTTTTCCAAATCAGTTATAAAGTCCAAATTAAGTAAAAACAAAGGAATTATTACTTAAGGACATAAATTTCCTTAAATACTTTTTACTACGTAAAGGAAATTTTTTCCCTTAATACGCAAGTAAAGATTTTTTTGAATATATATATATATATATATATATATATATATATATATATATATATATATATATATATATATATATATATATATATATATACACTACCGACAAAAAGTTTGAGGCAGGGTAAAAATTTATGATTTCGAGATGTAAATACCCTTAAATTGTTTATTTTTTCGACTTCAATGAGTGTATTTATGTTTTAATTTATGATTCTAATATATCACTAGTAGATTAGAACTGTTTATAATATTTTAATCAACAAGGGATAGCTGATACATCATAATCTACATTTCTTATTTGTTTAAAAAACAAACATGGGTACTTGTTGGTGCAAGTAGAAGATCGCAGATAGCTTAGATTAGTGTTTCTTTGATTGAATGTCATTGTGAGTGGTCTTTTGTTCCCTTGTAATTAAAAACATATTGAAAGTTTATATTTTATTAACAAAATTTTGAATTTTTTTGTTTTGGAACTAAAAGTCCAAATAATGGCTAGAAGAAAAGAATTAACCATTGCAGAAAGAGAAAGAATACTTGTTTACCACGAAGAGGGCTATTCACAAGTTCAGATAGCAAAAAAAATGAAAATTTCAAGATGTTGTGTGCAAAGGACACTACAACGATACCATGAAAGTGGTGTCCATACAAGCAAAAACCGCTCTGGACGACCTAAAAAGACTAACAAACTACAAGATAGGGAAATAAAAAACATTTCCTTATCAAATAGAAGGTATACTGCCGAAAAAATCCGATCAGTTTACAATAATTTCAACGAAATTAAAATTAGCACTTCGACTGTCAAAAATCGGCTGAAGCAAGTTGGCTTACATGGACGTGTAGCTGCTCGTAAACCCTTATTAAGGCCAGTTAACAAAATAAAAAGATTAAATTGGGCTAAAAGGCATGAAAACTGGTCAATGGAACAATGGAAAAACGTGCTT